TCTGACACCCGGTGTTCAGATTCCTTTGGCAAAGCCAAACAAAACATCTTACCATGGTGTATCCTGAGAATCTAGGCTGGATTTTCACATGAGGAAAGTGGGCCCTTAAGAATGTAGATGCAAGAAAGAATACAACTTTTGTAGGGAGAATTAATTTAGTCAATTCTTTAAAGTTAAAAATGTGTGACAGAGCACATAAAGTTCCACTCAAAGAATATTCAAAGAATACAAAAATAATGGTTTAATAATCCAATGAATAATCAAATGAAGAGGAGTTAGGCTGCCTGTTCAAGTTGCTAGAGTACTGCGAGATAATTTCTACTATTACTGTATTCTCAAGAGAAGGACCAAAACCACAGGATGTACAGAGAATTTACAAAAACAGCATGGCAACTGCAGATAGATGTATCGTGTATAAAAGATGAATGAATAAATTATTAATAGCTAATGTAGAACCAGATGAAATTCCTATTCCTGTCTCCAAACATACTCAGTTAAAAGTGAACATTGAACAGTACAAGCAAGGACTGGAGAGGCTTTGGAGGTCAAATTCAAGCTGGTCTGCACGGGCTTAAAAGAATTTGTAAATAATGAAGTCATTTCCCTGAACAGCTTTTAAAATGGAAGAAAAATGATGGTAGCAGAGATGGGATGAAGAGAGTGATGTACCTAGGGCCACGCCCAGCTTCCCACCTGGAGTGCAGGTGCCAGCTTCTGCTGGGCAGGGCAGACTGTGAATTTGACCACCTGACTCCTGGAGTCTTTGGTGCCTGGCTTGGACTCGCTCTCCTCAGCACTACAGGAGCAGACTCTGCTGTGTGAAGACTTGTGGAGGGCAACGTGGATGATGCTCCTTGAAAGAAGAGCAGTTGTCTCCATTTTGGCTGAGCCTGGCCCTGTTTCCATGTATTGATATGTACAGAGGTGGCTAGGACTTTTCCTTATCCCTTCAATTGGCTTTAAGCAATGCAAATAGGTCCAGCGCAGGTGCTGTGACTTCCCAGGGCATAAAACATTACACAGCAGAGCTGAAGCACTGACCACAGAACATTAGCTACTACCTCAGGTGTGTTACGCAGATTACTCCTGCATATCCTTCTCTCTGCGTAGTGTAGAGGTGATTTCCGGCCTCCTACCCACCCTAGCTCACAGCACTCACGTACTTCCTGCCACTCTCACAGTCACTCATCCTCAGGCCACTCCCTTCTTCACGACTTAATAATACCCAGGTTCCGCCCTGGCTCTAGGCCTTTGTTCCAGTTAGCCATCATGGTAGCTGGGCTTAGCACTCCCTTGCTACCCTCCATTTTGGATGTATTATCGCGTCTTTATTCTTGCCATGGGTTGCACTGGGAGTGGTAGATTGGAATTAACTCAGTAAAATTCCAATAACTTTTCCAGGGAATCACAAATATAAACTTCCTGGACTGCAAGGAGGACCAGGGAGCGCTCTCTATAAAGATGGGTGTGCTCTTCATTGTCTGAAATAAGCAAAGCCTAGGAATGAGTGCAGTGCTGTTTGTGCTGTCCTTTCTCCGGATGAGGGAGAAAGTGGGTCCAGAATGGAGGGGTGTCCAAAACCTCTCATTCTTAGGTCATCGCCCTGGCATTTTGGAGAGGAACGCTTTACAGGCCTGTCCTTTGCACGTCTCCCAAAGTGCAATAACTACATGAGTGTAAGTAAAAGTACACCGAACAAAAATCTTTACAAAAACAGGAAGAAAAAGAATTTTTTAGGAGAATGTCTTTCTACATTAGCAGGAAGATGGGATTTGGCTACTTATAAAGAATGAGGAGAACTAGTTTGTCAAAATAAAAGAAACAATTTTAGGGAAATAATGCATTAAAAAAGAAATGAAATCTTTCAAAAGATGACATATGAAATTAAAATGCACTGTAGGATTTTCTGACTAGTTCATTGTGTTGCACAGCTGAGCACACAGTGTACAAACGCTCTATACTTCCTGTGTGCTCTGGTAAATGTCTAATATCATTTTCCCCGTTCCATAACGGGTCTTCTGCATGATCCAGACACAGCTTTCTAGACAAGCTCTCCCCTTACACTTAAGTGGCTTCCTTTCTGAGGCTGCCCTCCTTGTCACACCGACAGTAAGCCCAGCTTCCTGTTCCAGCCACATTTTGTCTGTACCATTCTGCCTTGGTAACTAACGTTCCGCCTTAAACACGTTGAAATTTATTAGAAACGTGTTGTAGAATTTTTTTCTGCTACTGCTTCAGAGTAAACCTGCAAAAAGAAGTGAGTAGAAATCGGGCTCTGAAGGTGCCTCAGCCGCACCTCCTGGAGCGCAGCGTGGCTCCGGGTCTCCAGGCCGGGGATCCCAGCGGGCGGAGGCCGCCGGGGCCCTGCACAGGGGCGAGTGCAGCTGGAACCCCGCCCATCGATAGAACATTCTGGGAAGGACATGAACAACTTTGAAAACATGGGGAAGTTTCATTTGGGGATGCAAGCTGTGATTTTTAAACTTCCTCCCTGAGCTCCGCTGCTTTTGTTGGTTTCCGACTGCGGTCCCGGTCCTGATGAATCCCAGCCAGACGCTGCGGCAGGTCTGGGGAGAGCTGAGCACAGGGCGCTGACCGCAGGCGGGCTGTGCAGGCAGACCTCCACGGCCGGGAAGCGGCAGCCCAGGCTGGGGCAGAGGCGCCCAGGACCCGCTGCGGGCAGCTGGGCTGCTGGGAAGGAGGCCGCGCGCAGCGGCGGTGGAGCCCTCGCAGGGGTGCCCGGCACGAGCCCGTCCTTCTGCAGCCCTGCGGCCTGGGAAGCCGCCCCGCCTGCCAGGCACCTGTCCGTAGGGGCCGAGTACTACCTTGGATGGTAGCTTTATGTCTGATAATTGTTAGAAGAAAAAATACTGAGAATTGATTTTTAAAATTAAAATCCTTGGCATTTGATTCTTTATCAGAACCATCAACGTGAAGGAAAAGCAGAAAGCATGTTTTAAAAATTCATCTTTAAACTTAAAATAGTCTTATATATAATGGCCTGCAAAATACTTATGTAAATGCAATACATTTACATAATTTCATAATAAATTGAAAATATTATCATCGTTTCTCTATGTCAAGGCAGATTAAACCTCTCACTTAGATACACAGTTCAAAATTTAGTGGTACACGGGTGCTGGGGATTTAGCTCAGCGGCAAAAGCGCCTGCCTGGCAAGCGCAAGGTCGTGAGTTCGGTTCCCGGTACCGGAGAAAAACAAACAAACAAAAAAATTTAGGGTACACAAATGTGGTTTTATATGACTTCTATGAAATGTTTCTGTGTTAATCTTTATCTTTAGTACAGTATTCTTGGAAACAACATTAAAGATCATTTATGTCATGATTACCCATGATTATGTAAACTTATAGGGAAAAATATTTTGGTCATAAGGATTGCACCAAAGGGCTTAATTCAATCCCTAACTGCAATGATTTGACACTGATTATGAGCGAATATTCAATTTATCTAAGCAATAACAGCGAGATTTTTCATACAATAGAGAGAGCGGTGTGAATGCAATTACAGAATTCTCAATATGGTTTTTACTTAAAAACCACATAATGAACGTCTTTCACAGTGGTGGACATGTAATCACATTGGGTTTGATGAGAAATGTTTTCATGAAGACACAGCACAAACCAGACACAAAAATCTTCAGAGATAGTGGTGGAATTATTGACATGATGTTACATACATGAACTACAACAACTATAGAAACACATTTCATGAGAAACATAAAAGACATTCAAATTCCAAAGCTTCTAGGGAAATTTAAAGAGTGGAAATACGTGGCAAGATGGAGGAGTCTCTTGCCCCCCCTTTCAGTAACAGTAGTGTAAAAAACAACTCCCTTCGAACTCTGAGAGACGGAGCTGGTAGGGTTCTCATGCCAGGGCACCGCGTTTTCTGTGCTGTATAAGGTAATAGAATAGACTTCAGTTGAGAACATTTTCCCTGTTTATATACTGGCTCTAAAATGCTATTATTTTGCCTCATGCAATTTGAGAACTATTTTATTATCTAATGGAATTTTTGTTTGACTTGTAACTCATACGAAGTAGAAAAGTCACCTGTTGTAGAATGAACTTCCATGAAGAGCTTTCTAAATTGTAACCATGAGCCAGATTTTTTTGAAATGCAGTTATTACTACTATGATTTGCATCAAGTGCAAAACACGATATTTTTACACTACATAAAAATAGTAATTGGGGCCGGGGATATAGCTCAGCGGCACATCGCCTCCCTAGCAAGTGAGGGGTCAGGAGTTCGATTCCCAGTACCGCCCCCCCCTCATAGTAATAACCTTCCTTACACTTTGAGTCAATAAACAGCTTTGGGACTTTGCCTTTTTGATTTAAATTTAAGCTTATTTAGGCTAAACTTTGTCTGTATATTTATCTTAATCTTCATTGAAACAGTGTACACTTGAGTGAATTCAATATCATTGAGCCTAATACTTTAGCAATTAACTCACCAGTAATTGATAACAGAATTGATATTAATTCTTGTAATACCCAAGAAATTATCTAAATTTTGGGAAAATTATAACTTTTTTTCCCATAAACTGAGAGTAATTCTTTCACCAAGAATGAATGGATTCAAATATCATGGTCTTCATGTCTTTGTAGAAATGTAGAAATAATGAAGTTCAAATCTGTTCTGTATTTGGTAACATTATTGTCCATCCCGATTGATAACAAAATTTCAGTGACATTGACATCTTATGTAAAATCTTTGATTGCAACAGAAAAAGGAATACACATTCAGTATTTAGCATAGAGCAGTCCCAACAAACACCTTTCTTCTGTGTCATTAGCACACCATGAGGTAAGTAGTTGATCCTTTTTTCCCATAAATTTGGCAGGGTTTAGGGATGCCTGTTTCTTTACCACTTGTTCTATTAAAGTAATCACACTAACTCCTTGCCTCCTAAAAGGATCCCTGGGTGCACATATTGAGAGATAAATACATGGTCTATTATTCCATTCCCAACATTTATTTTAAATACAGGCTTTATTTTGTATTTTCTGTCCACACAGTGATCATTTTTAGAAACCATCTGCCTCCACAAACCTTGTAATTTAGTGAATCAGGTTGGGATTTGAAAGTTGTAGTTACACACTCAAGTCCTCTGGGGCACTGTAAAGCACACGTCTTCTTTCACAGGGCACTTGCAACACCATGGCATTGTTCTGTAAACCGTTATCTCTCTGAGTGAGAGGACGTGGACGAGATTCGAGGGGGTCACTCAGCCTCTCCCTGCAGGCCTCCAGCCCAGCTGGCAGTCGTGATGGTGGCCCCTGCCACAGACACCTGTGCGGTAAAAGACTTTATTTCACATGGGCTGATAAGTTGATGCCTGATGGTGTCCTTCAGAGACCAGTGGTTTTCAAATCTTAAAGTGCTTCAGAGTCACCCGTGGGGCTGGGTGACGGGTAGGGCCCCTTGGCACCTCCCCCATGGCTTCTGGTTCAGCAAGCTTGGGCTGGGGTGGAAATTTGAATGTTTCATAAGTTCCCAGATGTTAGTGCTGAGAGTGCAGAAACCACACACTGAGAATCACTGATTCAGATCTGTCACGCAGATGTTACCTGACTTCTGCGCGCTCCCAGTCTCTGTCTGTCTGTCCCTCCCCCTCTCTCCTTCTGCTCTTTTAAATGATAAGGACAGTTCTTTTGACATCTAAAATATTTACTCTTACTCTGAGCTATTATTTTAATCCCATGCTTTTTAAAGTTATCCTCAAACTAGGTGGTAACTTTCATCATGATGTGTAAACTACAACTCTTCTTTTATGCAGCATAAATTCTCAAATGTGCCAAGGGGAGAAAGGAGAGATTTAGAATACGTTAGTTCCAGTAGTGTGGTGCTGAGATTTACCAATATACTTTCAGTAACCCTCATAAGAGAGCTTGGCTTTAGTAGTAAAAGGCACAAGGTGATGAAACCCTAAAGTCTATGATTAGAAAACAAGTTGTGGATCATTTGACTGTGTTATTTTTCTCTGAAATAATTGCATGGGAAAACAACAAGAAGATGACAAGATATTAATTACATTCTAAGACAGTTTTTCTTCGTATGATGCCCTAGCTCCTTTCCATACAATCAGAACACCTGCTGCTCCACGCTAAGATAAAGGCCATGGCTCTGTGATCGCTTATTTTATATCTAAGTGAATATTTGATTCAGAAGAATTTGGCAAAGGAATAACTTGAAACACACAGTACTTTGAAAGCCAGAGCTTCTATTTATACAAAATATACTGCAGTTCTTTCATTTGGGTGTGAGTTAACAGCAAGCCCCTCTCTAACCCCCTAGCTCGGAGTCCCAGGCTGCAGAGGGCTTCACATGTTCAGAAAGCGCTACTGTACTCGTGGGGGGGGAAAGGGCACTCGTGCTGCCCACGCTGACGAGGGCCACGTCCTGGGCTGAGTCCCTGCTCAGAGATGGTAGGCATCGCCCTGAGCGTCTCCCTCACTGAGAAGTCTGCCCACCAGTTGCAGCTCCCTGGAAGCCATCCTTGCATCCTTCCCATCATTCTCCCTGCTGTCTAGCACTGCAGCACATTCTTAACTTCATCCAGCAAGGTTGACTGCCTCATTTGGTTGGTTAGAAGAATATAATAAGGTGATTTTGTCCTATTTTAATATGTTAAAATCTCTTCCTGGAGTTGGAAGTTCTCTTGTATTAATAGTCATTACAAAATATTTATTTTCCTATACTCTTACTGGTCATACGTTGGACAAGACATGCTAGCAATCATCAAGTTAAAGACCGGAGAGCACTGAGCAAATGCCTGATAAAGTCAGTGGAAAATAAAGTTAAATAGCATTTGCTTTTATCTTTTGCATTACCTCATATGCTACTTAATATGCAAACATTCTCTCAGATGATGTTGCAGTATCGTCTTTTGTGACTTTGAATAAAAGTATTAAGTCAACTAAAGTAAGTGTGCTGTTACTTGAGAGTTAGTAATAGCTACTTATTTTAGCAGCCAAAGAAAACCGCGGGCTAAGGGTGTGTGATTTTTAGCAACCAACTGGAATGTGTGAGGTTAAAATAACAATGGATTGATTTTTAGAAGACTAAAAATATTCAGATATTTAATGGACACCAATTTTAATACGTGAAGCTAAAAGTGAAATAGGCTGAAATAAGTTCAGGTGAAGATTGAAGTTCTAACATGTTTGAGTCAGAAGTTGAGAAATGATTTTAAATCTGCATTTTATTTCCAAAGAGCAATACATTATTTAAAAAAATGGATTGACAAGCATTCTAGCGTCAGATCATTAGGATAATAAAATTCTGTACACAGAGCTTTTAAAAAAGAATAGCTTGACTAGGGTACCGTTGGCACACGGACGGAGGGTCTACCAGCTTGGCCTTGGCCCTGCCCCGTTGGCCTTGGGGAGCGCGCCTATGCTGGTGAGGACGACCTGCTCCGACAGCTTGCACACATTGTCAAAGGTGCTGATCTGCGTGCTCAGAGACTTGCGGCTCTCTGTGCTGGTCCTGCCCCGTGTGAGCCGATCCTCCTGGCGATGGTGAACTCCCAGGCAACAGCAAGCAAACGCTGCTTTAAATTCCTCTCGAAATTTTCCTGGCAAGCCAAAGAGAACGGAAGGAAAAAGGATTTTGCATGAATGTTTCGGCAAATAATGTATAGGGTAAAACAGATTTGCTCCCTGGAGCCAAAGTAACAATGTGGTGTAACATTTTGCAAAGATGGAGCAAATGGGAAAAGGAAATTAAGTTTATCGAAAGCCTAGTAAATTCCTGAAACAATGAGACTATTTCATAACATTATGAAACTGATGTTCATACCTGATGTTTGCAGTTTGTTTCATTCCTTTTTAGTCAAACCTCATGTATTAGTGTATAGTTCTATTCATAGTACTACTATAAAAATGGTCATTCACAGAAGCATGCCCAGAGACCCCACAACTTCAAAACTAATGAAGCCTGTAAGCCTATACCATACTTTGCATATATATATATAAAAATATATATATATATATATATTCCATGCATATATAGCTAAAATCGCCCTACACTGTATTCTAAGGAAACTGGCACAAGGAGTCTGACAAAATAGCCAAAAAAAATATTAAAACATTTCTCAAAGTTCTACTTTCATAATCTACATAAAGCAGAGCAAGAAAGCAAAACAACTGAAAGAAGAAAAACCTTGAGAAGTGTTCCTCGGCTCTGACTTACTGAGAGGTGGCTGGAGAACTATGAAGATGAAGCAGTCGCCCTTATTAGAGTGAATGCGCTCAGTTCTCCTCTCCCAGCCCCCCCTGCGCGCTGAGCTAAGCAGTGCGCAGTGGGAGCGTGCGTGCTCCGGGGCTCAGGAGTCAGCGGCCCACACAGCTCCAGGGCCCCTCAGCTGGCTGCCAGCTCCCTCTGCGCCCCTCCCGTCCCAGGGGTCGGACTTGGTCTCTAGCTTCTGTTTCCCCTACGACATCCTCATAAGTTTGGCCTGCTTTGTGCAGGGCTGGGTGAGACAGTCATTCTTAGAAATGAAATTGTTCATCCTTTTTTATTTCTTGTCATGCATTTAGGTAATTTTAATTTCTTTCTAACTAATATATAAAATAAACATTTTCAATATGTGTATACATTGTGTAATATTTAAATTAGGTTAAACATATCTATCTCTTCAAACAGTTACTATTCACTATTTCTTTATGGTAAAACATTCCAAATCTTCTCTTCCAGTTCTTTGAAACTTACACTGCATAAGTGTTTTGTATAGTTGCTCTACTGTACAGTATCACACCAGAACTTCTTACTTCTAGCGAATTATAATTTAGTGCCCTGAGAAGTTGATCAGTGGGTCCTTCTTTTAACCCAAAGACAGAGTTAGAAGATGAACGTAATTTATGAAGCATATAATAAAATGAAATGGTTATTCTTACATATAAAATTACCATATATTTGGAAGTAGAAGTAAAAAAGTATCTGTCAAATACCTTGAGAAGCAACAGTGCAAAGATGTAGCTACTTAAAACACAATTCTGTAAGTTATTTTTATAATTATGTTTATTTCATAAATAGAGGGATGATAGATCTAATAGATTATGATGTTTACTTGTGTATGTCATTTAGCTAGTTATCTACAAATGACACTTTTATTATCAGTGAGAAATTTTGACAAGGTATGTAACCTACAAGCAGAATGAACACAAATGCATAAAACTTCTAAAAGTGGAAAAATTCAGTCTGTCTCAATTAGGTTATATATTTTGGCAAAAGAATAACAGCAAGGCAAAATAGGTGAAGGTATTTTGCATATTTGTGAATCACAAGTTTAAAGTATGGCATGCAAAACTGTTCTGTTCCTTTCTCATAATTATTTTTGCATTTTTGAGATAGGTCTCACTATGCACTTCAGGCTGGTCTTGAACTCACTTTGTAGCTGAGGCTGGCCTCAAACTCACAGCAATCCTTCTGCCTCAGCCTCCCAAATGCTGGGATTACAGGCATGCACCATCACACCCAGCTCCTTTCTTATAATTATAGCTGTCCTATTTTAACATTTATTTGAAATTGTAGATGAAAAATACCTAGGTCATCTCTCTGGGTAGTCAGGTAACATATATTCACTTTTGTAAAAAGAAAAACTCAGGATAACTAAGGCAGGCAAAGACAGGTCTCCAGCAAGCAAGCTCTTCCTGTGCATTATTATTAAGATGGTTCCATCCCTACGATGAATGCGATCATCATGTATATCTAAAATATACCAATAAACTTCATTCATTAAAAAATGAAAGGGCTCCGTATCTCCAGCTTGTTTCTTCTGTGGTCAGAACTGCGATTTATAGAAAAAGGGAAAACTCACCACTGAGAAAATTATAAATAATGGGGTTCGCAGCACTGTTGGCATATACCAGCCAGTGTGAAAACGTAAACCAAGCATATACGGTTTCTCTGTCTTCCGTGTGTGTAAACATCCCAAACACCCTGTAAGGAAAGATCAAAATCAGTGATTTGGGAGGGCAGCTTTAAGTGATTAAAACCAAGGCGAGCAGGGAGTCCGTCATTCACTGCAAGTGTTGTAGCACAGTTCAGTGAGAACAGCTTTGGACCCGGACACAGCTTCGTGATGCAGTTAGTATTCGAACGGTGTATTAGGTCAGACACAAAGGACTGTCCTCCGTCTGTCTCTGTCTCTGTCTCCCTCTCTCCTAGGAATAAAGCAATACTTACTGTAGATAAACACATAGACATTGAGAACTGAGTGTGGTGGCACAGCCCTGTGATCCCAGCACTCAGGAGGCTGAGGCAAGAGGAGCACAAGTTTGAGCCCAGGTTGGGCAAAGTGGCAATTTTAGCAAAATCTTGTCTCAAAATAAAAGGGAAGGGGGCTAGAGATGTAGCTCAGTGTGAAGGCCCTGCTTCAATCCCCAAAGCAAAAACAAAAACAAAAATCTCCTAAACTGCACTGTTTAAGTACTTCTTCCATTTTTCATTAGTGCAGTGATCATAAAATACATTTGGCCTCCCTGCAATTTGATTTCCAGGACTTCTTTATACTCAGAGAACTAGTTTTCTGCAGATAGGATTCTGATAATTTCTTAAGGTTCATGCATTTTAGTTTTTCATGTAGTCTATTAAGCTGTGAAAAAATGTATTATCTTGTCCTTACAGGCTATTTTAAGATTTGATAGTCTTAGAAATGTCTCCTCTATCAAATTCTATTGACTGATCTACAGAAGATAACTGTGCAGCTATTCAGTAGGTTTATAAGCCGATGATTATAACGCACTTCCTGCTGAAGGCTGCCATCAAAACTTAACACACCTGTGTTTCCTTTTCAGTAGCAAAACACATGATAGACATGCAATCCTGGAGCAAAGTGACACTCTATGGGAGAGAGGGGGGAATGAGGAGGAGAGCAGAGGGGATGGGGAGAGGGAGAGGGAGAGGGAGGGAGTTTGGGCAAACAATTTATAGTATGCTGTAGCTCTGCACTTCAAAATCTTTGAAATCTTGGACAAACCCAAACTGCTTTAAAGAAGTTGGTTTTCATTAATCAGACAAAATTTGTTTTAAGGAAAAGAAGCCAATATTTTTTCTTTACAAAAGAAAGAAAAGGTAGCCGGGGTGGTGGCGCACGCCTGTAATCCCAGCACTTGGGAGGCTGAGGCAGGAGGATCGTTGTGAGTTCTAGACCAGCCTGGGCTACAAAGTGAGCTCAAGGCCAGCATGGGCTAGCCTGAACTGCAGAGCAAGGCCCTGTCTCAAAAAAAAAAAAAAAAAAAAAAAAAAAAAAATTAAAGAAAAAGTAAGTTTGATATGCAGGGACAAACAAACATTTAAAAAATGTATATATTAGTAAAGAAAAATAAAAACAAGCTTGTTTTTAAAAATGTATGTGGTGGAAAAGACAAGAATGCTAAAAAAAAAAAACACCTGAAAACATTTTAAACTGAACTTGGATATTTTCTGTAGGAAGCTACTTGTTTTTCTTCAATAGGAATGTATTTAAGTTAGAAGAATAGGATGCATATTAAATGTTCAGCTATAGGAGATTCAATGTGCAGACAAGACAGGGTAAATCCAGCTGTCACTGAATTCTGACTTTGCAGTACAGGCAAGAGAGAGGCAGGTGTGTGTGGCAGAGGAAAGCACGTCCAGCCGCAGCGCGTTCCCTTAGAATCTCCCTAGGAGCAGACGACGCCATCTAGCAAAGAAACCAGAATAAATTTATGTGGTATTTTTCTGAGCAAAAAATAAGGTGGGGGTTCTGAAAAGTTATGGAAAGAAAAGTAATTTTCACTTTCTTGTGAGTTGGCAAATGGATCCAAACTGCCAAAATCTTACACCTTTGAGGCTATGACTGCAGTAAATAATGTTACTGAACAGAAGTTCATTTTTCTATTTCTTCTCCATTAAAAAAGCCATTAAACAATCAAAACCAAGGGCCAGTGTGGGAAATCTTGCAGCTGGTTACACGGCCCTTCCCCTCCTCGCCCCCCGGGCAGAGGGTGAGGGCGTGGTGCTGACTCAGAGCGGGCACGGGGCGCAGCCCTGCGCGGTGAGGTCCGGGTCTTCCAGGGGCACAGTCGACGTCCCGGGCACGCGGTGAGCGGACAGTGCTGACGCTCGGTGGAGCCGCGCCTCCCTGCCCGGCTGCTCCTGCGGCTGCTGAAGCTGACCCTGAAGGGCTGTGTGGGCTACAGCAGAGTCCGTCCGCTTCGCTTGCTGCAAAGTGTCGTGCTGGTTTTCACTAACATTCATTAATGAAATGAAGAGCCTGCTTCGGTGACCGAAAGAAGCGGATTTCCTCTCCTATTTCAACATTCCGCACACGAAGACGGGTGTGCATTGCTTTTTGTTGTTCGGTGCTCCAAACAAAACTCTCCTGTCTCATTTTCATCTTCAGAAAGACTTGCCTGCGTCTGTGAGAACAAAGTCTGCAAATCCCACTTCTTCTCATTAAAAAACAAGCAAGCATCGAATGTGTGAAGGAAGCCATGCTGCTCCTGGGTTTGGGGTTTGCATGCGGCCTTCCAGCGCGAGGGCTGGAGGGGCGCAGAGCCCGCCTGCTCCGCCCCGCCCCCGTCAGTCCCGCCACGCCCCTGTCCCTTCAGCCCCGCCCCTGTTAGTCCCC